TTTTTTAATTCAGGACCAACCCAAATATTAAAAACTTCTACCGAAGACCCTATTTTTCCTGAGTTTAGGTTCGAGTTAAATTCAGGTTAGCCTACTCCGGTTGCACCTCCACCTCCACCTCCACCTCTATTTTTAATATTATAGGTTAATTGCCTATTAATAATGTAATAAATAGTTCTTTAAAAAAGATTAAATGTGAAATTATCAACAAAAAGATAATAGAAAGATTGAAATTTGAATGAGCTTAAACAGATGGTAGGAGTAATGGGTCACATGCACTATTATGTATTTTTATTAAATAATTCTGAATAATGAAAATTTTGTATTTGTGGAGGGAGTGCGTTTCTTTTAAGTCATCTCTTTTCTAAATTGATTATTATAATATATACTATAGATAGTATAGATGTACAGAACTTTATGATTTAAATTTGAATTGTCGTTATATTATGTAATTTAACACACGATTTATCCTTGGTGGGTTGAAAAAAATATTGGAAGTAACCGTGACACCAAGTCATCATTATCACCATTTAATTAAAGTATAACAAATAAACAAGTGGATTCTACCTATTCTAGTAACCACTTTGTGTTGTAATTTTTAATTCATGAATTATATGAATATGAGAAGATTATGATGTGATCCAAATGTGATAAAACGCATAATTAACACAAATTTATAATGATACGACTTGAAATTAAAATTTCAAGCGTCGAATGTTTCAATTTCAAATGGTGGTGGGGGATGAATTATGACTGCATACCTACCCAAAAAGCAGAATTGGAGACAAAAAAGGAGACATACTCTTTGGTCCAAACTTAATAATATTTGTGGGGGCATGATTAGATATAGAGTAGTCCACTGTCCGATGATTGTTAATCCATGAAGCAATCTTGTGTGCCTTGCACATAGGTTTCCTGGTTTTGCCATACACTGAATCCAGCCTACCAAGTAGGTCTATTAATTCTGGTTGTAAGCTGCGAATTCAATACAAAACCGATGTAAAATTAATAAATTTAAATTTAATTCTAAAAAATTCAAGTAGTGAATTCATGAACCCATCATATATACCGATTGATACAAACTTAGCCAAATTCAACAATAATTCTCTAAATATGCCTTATATACAACAGATATTTAACTCAACACAAACCCAACTATACACATGATTATAAACTGATTAGGTATGATAGGGCAATTTTACTATAACACAACCCATTTACAGCCCTACTACCGATTACCAACTACGGGTTTTAATGCTTCCTGTGTCGATACCAAACCTCAAGCCTGAACACCCTTGGGGAAAAAAACCCCCCTTTATTTTGTCGCTGCATTTTTGAATCATCACCTTAATCCTGCTGCAAAAGGTGCCACTCCCACTCTAAAAACCTCAAAGTTATAAATAGAGCAATAGATGGGAAAGCAAAACCAAAAAGGTTCACCTAGAGTTTTCAAATAGATAATATGACTCAAAGTAAAAAGAAAATTTGGTAGAAATAAACTGGTTCAAAAATTACATGTTCTCTCAAGGATCTTGGGTCCGAAATTTCTGTTTTCTTCCAACTTCCATTTGAAAACTAGAACTTGTATGTCTTCCAATACCTTAGGGCAGGCCTGCCCTGGGGTCGTTGGATTCATTCAATTTGATTTCATCCTTTAAACTGCCATTCCCTACGGCACATGGGACAATGTGCTTGAGGAGTCTGCGAATTCACCCACTTCAAGATGCAATGAAGGTGAAATGCATGGTTACACGCACCCCAGACTGCAAGACCAAATGTAAATTCGAACCGTTAGTTTTGATCATGAAACTGAGCTTCACAACAATCTCCAAATACAAAAACTGGTCGNTAAAATGTCCATAATACTCTTTATTTCTCCTCAAATAACTACTTAGAACTCCCTCTTAACTCCACTCAACTGCCTACACTCACAAAATACCAATATTACCTTTCATATCTTCCAAATAACTACTCGTCTCTCTTTTTAACTGCCTAATTCTCCCTTCACAAGGGCAATCGTGTGCAGAACATCTACTCAGTAATAATATCAGAGATCCTATACCATTAATTATTGTGATAAATCTCAATATATTCTAAATGGCCACATTCACAATTATGGAGATCACATTCAAATGTTTGTTTGAACATGACCGTTACCATAGTACATCACATGAAATAGGCATGCTCGAACCTAAAACCATGACACAATGGACTTGCCAGCGCATGTGACTAATCACCATTCCCACCACCAGCGTGCATACTCATGTGCACACACGCACACACACACAGACACAGACACACACACAATGAGAGAGAGAGAGAGACTTTTATAGGCCAATATGCCTAAATATGGGATAAATCTGCCCAGGAAATTCTGGGTTTGCACAAGACTTCNGCACACACACACAGACACAGACACACACACAATGAGAGAGAGAGAGAGAGAGACTTTTATAGGCCAATATGCCTAAATATGGGATAAATCTGCCCAGGAAATTCTGGGTTTGCACAAGACTTCAGAATTGTGCACGAGGATGAAACCTCGAGCTAAAAAAATTATAAGAAGGTTAAATGGAGAAAAACCAAAAAAGTTCTTTTTTACCTTTTTCTCAGACTATGAAGCATAGATACTTCAAAAGGGTCAAAGTATCAGTATCGAATACTTCTCGGATATAGATACGCGTACAATACGGCAAAATACGTATCCGATACAGCTGAGAAGTATCCTAAAATTAAAAAAAAAAAATTTGAATTTCGAATGCTTCAGAATATGCTGGGANGAAATACGTATCCGATACGGCTGAGAAGTATCCTAAAATTAAAAAAAATAAATTTGAATTTTGAATGCTTCAGAATATGCTGGGATACATCGAGATACACAAGAAATACGTCGAAGATANAAAATACGTATCCGATACAGCTGAGAAGTATCCTAAAATTAAAAAAAAAAAATTTGAATTTCGAATGCTTCAGAATATGCTGGGATACATCGAGATACACAAGAAATACGTCGAAGATACGACAGGGTATTATTTGAATTTTTTAAAAAGAAAAGGAACACTAGAGTAAATATGTTTGGACCTTTATTTGCGAAAAATAAAAAAAAAAAAATTTATGAATGGATGATTTCTCATTAATAGAATAGTTAGTTATTATTATATATCTTTGACAGATGTGTGATTCACTTTGTAAATCATAATTATTACATTAAATATAATAATAAAAATTAAAAAAATATATTTNGAAAAATAAAAAAAAAATTTATGAATGTATGATTTCTCATTAATAGAATAGTTAGTTATTATTATATATCTTTGACAGATGTGTGATTCACTTTGTAAATCATAATTATTACATTAAATATAATAATAAAAATTAAAAAAATATATTTTATGGATGTATCCTAGCCGTACCTGTATCTTTTTTTTTAAAGAATTACCGTATCGCCGTATTCGTNTTTAAAAAAAATATATTTTATGGATGTATCCTAGCTGTACCTGTATCTTTTTTTTTAAAGAATTACCGTATCGCCGTATTCGTATCGTATCCGTATCCATACTTCATACTTCTCAGAAGAGGTGGTGCATAGTTCAACAATGGTGTGTATGAGANATTAAAAAAATATATTTTATGGATGTATCCTAGCCGTACCTGTATCTTTTTTTTTAAAGAATTACCGTATCGCCGTATTCGTATCGTATCCGTATCCATACTTCATACTTCATACTTCTCAGAAGAGGTGGTGCATAGTTCAACAATGGTGTGTATGAGAAGCACACCTCAAACATAATTCACAATGTGAAGAAAACCATTATAAACTTTCACCAATTTATATCTGACCACAAAAATTGAACCTCACGGAAAATTCTAAGCTGACATTAGCTACATCCTCACAAAGCTCAAGTATGGAACAGAAAAGATGTAGGCACACTTGAGCCAAGTACAATCTAGAGAAGAAAATATGTTAGACCCACTGATGATAAGACATTAGCATCTATGGAAACTCATCAGAGCAGCCAGTAACCTCAAAGATACAACATTTTAAAGTAAAATTGTACATGAAAGGTTTGGCAAGGAAAGCAACTTACTTAATGGGCAATCATCCCCTGGGAGTTTACAATCAGGACAACAACCATCAAATGCCATCCTGCATATCCCACATGTTTCGTCCTGGGCATCCCAAGTCCATGAAGCAACAGCATGCCATCTGTAATGCACATAGAGCAACAAAGTCTCAGGTGTTTGTCTAATTCAAATCAGGGTCTTCAGAGAACTACAAATGTAATAGGAGACAGATTACATACTCTGTTAGTTGGTCCAGTAGTAGTTGACAAGACAATAGGTTAAGAGAAAACTGATTCCCCAAAAGACTAAAAGGTATGTCAAACAAGTAATATATCATCTATCAAAGAAATCAGTGCCATGGAAACTTTGCCTTGACTTCGCCCAAATAAAATTCTTCTAGAAATAACCTATCTAGTTGTTTCAAAGAAAGATCAAGGCATAGAACCATACAATCCAAATTACAAATTAGGTGGAGAAGCTTAAAAATGAAATGGTTGCATAAAGAATTATATGCATTCAGAATCAATCATTTAATCAAAAGTCAAAACAGATAACCATGATATGAATCAGAACAGCTTAAAACAGACATTTTCGGCGGAGTGGTATGATAAAATCATCTGAAAAGAGTTCAATATACATATCAATCATGCAAGATTCTGCTAAAAAGTTGCAAAGGCCTTAGAGGCCTAAACTTTACCCAAAAACTAAAAATTTGGATTCTTTCGAATATAATAAATTAAAAATTGCTCATTGGATATTAATGAGGAAACAAAAGATTACAAATATCAATTTCATTATAAATTAGTAAAAAAAAAACTGTTTTACAAAAGCAGAGATATCCTAAGAAAGTCGACATAATATATGATCAATTAAACAGAGTCCGAATATGCCCAAAGTATATGAGTTCTCCCAAATGATTTACAAAATTAATAAGTAAATTAGTCACAGTAGCATCAAAACTTTAAGATACTCTGCAACACCGCAAAATATTCAAAGAGTAAAAGTTCTGTAATAACAACTGAAAACTAATTGAAAGAGTAAACTTAAAGTCAAAAGGATACGCAAAAGCTTGACTTTCATTTTCTTCTATCCTGCAAGAACAACAACATCAAAAATTGCACACAAGCATGCCATACATAAAATTTCCATAATAAAAGTACAATTTTCTTTGTCAAAAACTGTGAATGAAAAATTGTACACCAACTGGAAAATCAACTGGGGAAAACTTCTAAACTGCAAACTAATTGGTTAACAATACAGTGAACGATGAATAAGATCAGAGGTATACATATTAGAGGGAAATGCAGTGGTTCCTAAAATTCAATTGTCACCACCACTTTGTTTGAATTTTAAAAGTGGACTAAGCAGATGCATAGAGACCTTTTCTTTTCCTCCGAGCCTTGGGAAAACATATTAGCATTGTAACCTCATCTGGGCGACTGCTTCATGTTTAATGAACACAGCATCATCCCAGTTTAGCACATGGATTGTAACACAGGCTTTACTCCTTAGTAACTTAACAACAAATGTACCGATACATGTTTGATAGAGCTCTGATAAATTTTTCGTTGTCAGCCAGCTATCTAATATAACTCCCCACTTTTAACCGAGCTTGGACCGATTGTGTAGAGAATAGATAATAAACACAACAAGNTCAGCTATCTAATATAACTCCACTTTTAACCGAGCTTGGACCGATTGTGTAGAGAATAGATAATAAACACAACAAGAAGAGTTGGTTTTATGGATTTATAAGCAACAAGAAATTTTACTTAAAATAGTTGAATGTGGAAAGTCGATTGGGCTCTCTAAAACTTAACACAAAAAATGCAATGCCCCAATTCGCATCAATTCAAAGGGTGGCATCACACTTATTGTATATTAATCACCGGATATTGGCAAAAAAATGCTATATGATAAATTATCCATTACCACATATTAATTATAATTTTTTAGAAATTAATCACTAATTGCATAGATTCTTTTTTATTACATTAAACCTAATCAATTCATTATGTCTAACCCTCTGATCAAAACTTCCTTTAATCCAATCGAGTCGTTATTCATGTAAAATCTAATCACCACCGTATCCTTGTAACCTCCACCCTGCACCACTGAACCACCTCCACCATAGCACCACCACACAACACACACTACATATCACTGCACCTCCACACAACACACAGTGCACCACCATCACAACATCTCTGCACCCTAGGGATGGAAAGTCTATCCTCTCACCTTTCTTTCTATTCTTTTTTCCATTAATCGCACCAAATGGCCCCAATAAAACCAAAACTTTCAAGGACAAATGAATATTCTACTCAATAATAAAAGTTCAACTACACACATTCACATCAATTCGCAATAATTCCCAACAAAATTGGCATCAAAATGCAACACTTTGCAACAAAATTAAATAGTTCCCAACAAAAATTGTATCAAATTCACATTAAATTGCGCCAAATTAAATAGTAAAACGCAGCACCATTTCCAAAATTGCAACATATTTCCCAAAATTCATCAAGAAAGACACTTCACCGTTCCACTTTGATCTCCGGAAATGAGAAGCCATGACAGAATTCACCATTTCACTTTAGGGAGTTGTTGGAGCTAGTGCAGCCTGATATGAGGGAGGTCCATATGACAGTGTCTTTTGTGGGCATTTGGTCGAACAGTTGGTGACCGTGTGGTGGCAGACAGTGGTGGTTTTATAGAAGAGAGAGAGAGAGAGAGAGTTACCTGACTATGGTTTTGTCGTCGTCGCTGGTGGATGGCAGTGGTTCGTGTGGTGGTGTTGTGCTTTGATGCAGCTGAGAGGCGGCGAGGAGCAGAGAGAGAAGAATCAAAGAGCGGGGAGAAAATAAGTCGACGAAACTGAAGTTGGGAATCAGTCGTTCCCACTATCAATTAGGCAAAAATGTCTTAATGAAATGCGCTTCACAAAGAGGAGACAGAATGGGGAGGAACGGGTGGGGGATGTGTGTGTGCGAAAAGAGTGTGGGACGGAGGGGGGAGAAGGAAAGGGGTGGGGGAAAGAGATAACTGAGAGAGAGAGAGAGAGAGAGGGCCGGGGGTACCTGGCGGGGGAGCTGGGCTGAGGGAGGAGAGAGAGCACTGGACTGAGGAGAGAGTAAGGGGCTGAATATTGAAACAGATGGGCGGAAAAAAATGAAGTTTTAAATTAAAGGTGGATTGATCTGAAAGTCTTTTCAATTTAGGGAAGGGCTTTTTACTGTACCCCGAAAGATGTTAACATTTCTACTTTACACCCTAAAAAAAAAACAATTTTATGTCGTACCCTCATTGTTCTAAATTGTGTAAATTCATTGTAACGTGACCCCTTATACCAACATTCATCTCTATTCCTGTTAAAAGAAAAATGCACATGGTTTGTCCATGGGCAAAAATGTAAAAACAAGCTCTCATCTTACATGCCTTACCTATATGTATTTGCACACACTAGTTTGGCGCCGAAGTAAAAAAAAAAGAGAGGAAAAAATAGAGTGCTCTAGGGAAGAAGATTGCAGTTGGGGCAGAAGAAAAGTGATGGACAACTTCTATTACTGTGATAAAAGGGCAGCAATGAAGATGTCATTGACAGATTTCAACCCCGAGAGAAGATTTATGACATGTGACAATCACGAGGTATGTTTATATTTCGGATTTTTGGGAGTAATCTGATGGGAGAAGCAAAATTTTTCTATAAATTTTTAAAATTTGTTGACAGTTATTTATGCTTTGTAAATTTACTGTGTTGTTTATATATATATATGGGCTGATAGTGTTATATATATATATATAGGTAGGAGGTAGGTTTGGTTTTTTCTTATAGGTNCTGGGCGTCTTCCCCAATTTTTTAGAAGCAAAATTTTTCTATAAATTTTTAAAATTTGTTGACAGTTATTTATGCTTTGTAAATTTACTGTGTTGTTTATATATATATGGGCTGATAGTGTTATATATATATATATAGGTAGGAGGTAGGTTTGGTTTTTTCTTATAGGTGGACCCCACCCCCACGTATAACCGATCACGACTGATGATACCTGGGTTGTTGCCTAGTGTATCAAGACTAGAGACAGAATTGGAGACAAAACAAATCAAGGGTGAGGATGCTTTGGGCTCTTGGATACTAATTATCGTCGTATGTTGCTATAATATTCAAACTGTGGAAGATGGTTCATCTAAGCAAAATTTGAAGAATGGTGTCATGACTTTTGAGCTAATGTAGCTGCAATCTTTTTGGAGTAATCTGATAGTTGGTGTATCTAGACTATATTTTTGAGCTAATGTAGCTGATGGTTGATGTAGGTGGCTGCTTTTTTTTCTTTTTTGAGCTAATGTAGCTGAATCTGAGCACTTGATGTACTGGNCAATCTTTTTGGAGTAATCTGATAGTTGGTGTATCTAGACTATATTTTTGAGCTAATGTAGCTGATGGTTGATGTAGGTGACTGCTTTTTTTTCTTTTTTGAGCTAATGTAGCTGAATCTGAGCACTTGATGTACTGGGCTAATGAACCTTATGTATTAGTGTTATTTGATGCATTAGCATCAGGCTTTGATTAGTTTAGCTATTCAAATTCAAAATTGTAAATTATCAAAGTCAACCCACCACATTACTCTAATGCCACAATAAGGGAACATTTGACTAAAATCACATTACATTAAGAGTAGCAACATTAATCCCAAAAAAGTTACAAAGCATCCTAAAGTAACTGTGAACTAGGTGTGCCCAAGACAAAAGTGACTAATTCAAAGTCCCAAGACAAAAAAGTGTCTACTTTGACTGAGTTGTAAATGTANAGTCAACCCACCACATTACTCTAATGCCACAATAAGGGAACATTTGACTAAAATCACATTACATTAACAGTAGCAACATCCCAGTTATGAAAGCAACATTAATCCCAAAAAAGTTACAAAGCATCCTAAAGTAACTGTGAACTAGGTGTGCCCAAGACAAAAGTGACTAATTCAAAGTCCCAAGACAAAAAAGTGTCTACTTTGACTGAGTTGTAAATGTAGCAGTATCTTGAGTTTGTTGGGTGGATTTACTTTGACTTGCAGATGGAGCACCATGTTGATGTGGTATTGAATCCCGAGTTGATGTAGTTTTCTTTCTTTTAATCTGGTTCCACTAAAAACACGTATAAGCCAGATAGTCTCATAGGGTCAAAATGAAGAAAGGTAAAAATTAGTAAATGACTTACAAATAGCTTTGGTCTATATTGTGATTTAGTAGCAGTGGCTTGAGATTGGGGGAGGACACTGACTTGCTTCTGTAGTTGGAACAACAACAGACTTTTACCTATTACAAGACCAATATTTAAAGTATTAAACACATAAAAAGTTAAGCCAATGTGATAAAATTCTAACATCGTGATGTCTTACCATAGCTTGGTTATCAGTAAGAGGCATTTTACACTTTCTTGAGTTGTGACCATTGTGACCACAATTTTCACATTTGATGGTCTTGTACTTCCTCTTTAATTTTGTACCTGCAGGAGGCTTATCAGGTTCTATCCTTCTACACTTCTTAGGCCTTTCAGGTTTTCTACTAAATTCTGGTGGAAGGAGAGGGAAGTAAGCTATTTTAGGCCACATATCCTTTCCATTGATAGGATTCATCAGGTTGATATAACACTTGTTGAAGGTTTCTATTTTACACTATTCAGCTGTGTAGTCCTCTGCTGCATGACCCAAGTAATTGAAAGCAGAAACTGCATGTGGACATGGGATTCCAGTTAAATCCCATTTTCTGCAGCTACAAGTTCTTTCCTTAACATTCACAGTCCTCTGGTCACCATACATCCTTACCACCTCAAACATGTCACCCTCATTCCAAGTTGGTATGAAGGCTTCTGATTCCCCCTTAACAGCCTCTAGTCTTTTTTGTATGTTGGGACAAATATTACCCTTATAGCTCTTGATTGAATCCCTCTGACTATGTATCCTCTCCATCAACTAGACTCTGATTTTCTCTAACATAGTTAAGATGGGCTTATCACGAGCATCAACAATGGTTCCATTAAAACTCTCACACAAATTATTCAACAGCATGTCAAACTTAGGGAATGTACTAAAATGGAATCTAGACCACTGTACTGGTGGTCGGTCTCGTAACCATAAGTATGCAGATTCATCAACCATATGCAATTCATCCATCACATTTTCAAAGTTTACTACCCTACTAGCTTTAGAAGCCCTCCACGATAAATCTTTCAGAGTTAATCCCTTATGATGTGCCTTAAAGTTATTGTATAAATGCCTAACACAATGCCAGTGTTGAGCATTTGGAAATCGGGTTTCAACAGCATCTAGCAGGCCTTGTCATATAAAAACTGTAGCACTCTTATTGAAAAAAAAGTGACACTTCATAGAAAAAAAAGTAACAATGTTATAGAAAAAAATATTGCTTATCTTCTACTTATCCGACATAAAAGTCCAACAATGGGTCTTCATTGCACATAGATCCTCTTTCATCAGTTGGGTGAACCATGTCCAAGGATTTTATTCTCCTTCTCCACTATAGCATAAGAAAATGGATACATCTGATTGTTTGGGTCAATGCCTGCTACTACTAGCAGAATACCAGATTAAGAGCTCCTAAGATGACAACCATCCAATTCAATGAGTGGTCTACACCCCTCTAATAAACCCCTCTTCAATGCCCCAATGCATTCATACAACCTCTTGAATCTAAACTTATCACTACCTAAAGCCTTGGTTTTAATGATGCATGTTGTGGTAGGCATTGTCCTCCTCAACTCTTCACAATATTCCCACAGAAGAGCAAACTGCTCTGTATCAGTGCCATTGACCACATTCATTGCCTTTTGTTTATCTCTATATACTTGGCTCTTATTCATATTCATCACATGTTCTTTTTGAACAGTTTCTTGTATATAATTCATTGGCCATGTTGGGTTTATTCTCATCCTTTCCACATAATTTGCTAGCCACTTTGCGTTGGCATGTATGACTTTGAATGATCTGTTACAATTGTGTGCATTGTTGTATGTCTTCATTTGTATGGTCAATTCTCCTGCCATCCTTGAAGCATAAATCATCCAGTCACAACCTGCCCTAGACATTGCCCTCACTCTAAACCTTTCATTTTTAGTGAATTTGATATGTTTCCCCCACTTGATAGTATGTTGCCTAACTGCAACTCTAAACTCATTTGTGGATTTGAACAGCATCCTTAATTGAAACTGTGGGTCAACCATATTAGTCTTAGCATTAAGCTATGGATAATTAATCATAGGATTGTCTTCATTCAATGATCCACTTAGACTATTTAACTCATCAGATTCATAGTCTTCACCATATATCCCACATTGACTACCAAACCCCCCCCCCCCAAAAAAAATGCCACAGTAAATTTTTTTCCCTTTGAATTTGCACCTTGTGCCCTAGTGTCTACAACCACCTTTTTAACAATTGCACTACCAACCTCTGTTTCATTTCAATGCTCACTGTCAACCTTTGTGCTATTACAGACTACATTTTCATACAATAAATCATCATCCATTTCATACTCACTGTCATAAAAAGATTAACATTCACATGATTGTCCTTGGGCACTGTCATAATCGCTATCAGTTTCAGATTCTTCAGCACTATCATTTAAAACCTTAGCTGCATCTGCATCTTCACATTATGACTCCACATGATTTACACTGAACCCATCTTCACCTCTGTGCTCCACATATACATCAATCAATGATTTCTTATTCACCCAATTTGACAATTGCATTGTGTCATTGTTATTTTCCATTACCATCCACATATTACCAGCTTTGTGATTGTCAAAATATCCCAATTCCAAGCTTTTTAAATTATAATCCAACTCTTTTAGAGACATGTGATCATTGTGACACATGCCAAAGTGATTGATCTTACCACCAACATAAACTTTGCCACCCCATTTGTTAAACTTACCCCCACGACGTAGCCTGGTTGTAAAATACCCAGATTCAGCTTCTGCATATACCATAAAAAAATAACACACGTAATAATAGGAAAGAAGAAAAAGATAGCTTCTCAACAATCCACTTACAGTTAGGAAACAAAAACAAAGCAGGTTGCTTTTGATTAAAAAAGAAAAAACAACACACTTTCTGCATTAAATATGCAAAAAGTAAGTAAGTAACCCATGTTCAAAAAGATACCCCATCACAATAGACAAACAAAACACACCCACTCATACAGATATCCAATAGCATCCCCACTGAAAACCCCACCACATTTTACTATAACAACTTACTACAGAAGAAAACCCAACACAAAATAAGAAGAAGAAAATTCAAACAATAAAATCATTATCGTAATATGGCACATCAAACCCTGGACTCAACTCGTACTTTCCTTCTCTCAAAACTCAAGTCATCTCGTAATATTGCATGTGGAATACAGGTCATCGACTGCCTCTCTCCGACTTTCTCTATCCGATGACTGTCTCACTCTCTCTGTCTAAACCAGAGTTAGTAGAGGAGTATAAAAGGACACCCACGAGGACGGCTTCAATTGAGCTTGTTTTTACACTTTTGCCCATGGGAAAACCATGTGCATGACATGACATGTGCAGTTTCTTTTAACGGGAACGTTGGTATGAGGGGTCACAATGCAATGAATTTAGAAAAATGAGGATGTAATATGAAAAAAAATGATCTTTTAGCATGCAAAGTGAAAATGTTAAGATCTTTCGAAGCGTAAAGTGTGAAAAATTCTTTAAAGAAATGCTACTTGAACATTTAGTAGAACAAGTTTTCAAGGTATGAAATATAAACTTAAAACTTGAGGGGGCCATGACACCCCTTGGCCAAAGGGTGGTTGTCATTGTGCCCATGTCCATGTCCATAGAAGAGAACGACTCTTCGTAACGACATTCATTTTCTTTTCAAGTATATTAATTATTATTTGTGCCTAAAAGTATTATATTATAAACCTTGAGCCATGCTAAAAGCTTAGTTCTCAAATTCTATAAAGCCAAATTTTTCTTTCTCAAACTTATTCAAATGATATCTTTAAATTCAGAATTTTATAAAAAAATCTAATACTTTTACCACTATGCCAAGAATGGTCCATATATTTGAAATACCAACAGCATAAAATCAAGCAACTAAATTTATTCTAATTTACCAATTTGAACACGAGCATTTCAACAAACACATTTCTTCAAACCACCAATGAAAATATACATTGCCATGGAAGCAATAAAAAAAAAAAAAAAATTCCATTATATGTTCTTCAATATATAATTTTTATTTCACTTATAAATTTCTAATCTTTTTACTAATTTTAATAATTTTCATTTCCCTTACAATTTTTGAAAATCCTTTAAAGGTATGTGCTCTCAACAAAGCCATAGTTAATTAAAAAAAATTCAGCCCCAATACGAATAAGCAGTATAAACTATTAAATTCAATGGTAGATATAAGATTGCAGAAAGTGAAAGATACCAAAAGAATTCAGAAAATTAATGCATCCCCAAATGAAGAACCATAGACAATAATTATTGTATGAATGCCTCTACAACTATTGCTTTATGCCTTTGCTATTGGATCAATTCTCCGTTATATTGAAGATTAACATGGAAACTAACATGTCAATAGCAAGAAAATGACACATTTGAAATTGTTGAAAGTGACACTTACAATGCCGCCACATATCTCNGTCTTCAACAACAATATCTAATAAACGAAAATAATAATCTGAAGTCCTACTTGCTACATTAGATGCATCAACAGACTTATGAAAAATTGTACCTTTATTACAATATATCAAGAAGTTGATGATGTGATCTCGTGTTTGACCAGTCCATCNACATTAGATGCATCAACAGACTTATGAAAAATTGTACCTTTATTACAATATATCAAGAAGTTGATGATGTGATCTCGTATTTGACCAGTCCATCCATCACACATGATAGTAACTCTCCTCTCTTTCCATGTTGGTCGAAAAGACTTAATCCACTCTTTCATTGCATTAGCTTCTTTATTCAAATATATCTCAGACACCTCATAAGAATTCGGACATTTAACCTCTTTTCCTACTTTAGCAACAACATCAAGCATTGGTTGAGTCCAAGGAGAGTCTGCTACATGAAAAGGCAAATGGTTATATAACATGAATTTGGAAAATATATCTCCAAACCTTTCCCTTCTAATCTTTTGGTGATTTAAATTTATCTTTGGCTGCTTAATACTTTTATTTTTCAGAAGATTAGGATTCATCTCCCTTAATCTAGCTTCAGGAGTATCACCATTAATCCAATACCGAGCACTACCATCAACATCCTGCTCACGAACTGAATGAGATCGTCTTAACCTACCTCCATCTTTACCTCTAAAATTACCCCCACCTCCAGAACTACCTCCTACGTTATACTATGGCACATGTACACTTCTACGTCTGTGACTTTCTTCAAATTGATATTGTGTCACATTTTCTCTTCTCGTGAACGCCATATCTGGATCAGAATCTGAATCATCACCCAAGTCCACATACCTAGGATCCCCAACCACTGTCTCCTTCAGATGAAATGTTAATTCTTCCTTCCTATTTTGTNTTTTCTCTTCTCGTGAACGTCATCTCTGGATCAGAATCTGAATCATCACCCAAGTCCACATACCTAAGATCCCCAACCACTGTCTCCTTCAGATGGAATTCCAATTCTTCATTCCTCTTTTGTTTATCTGTTCTTTTATCTTTACTTTCTTGAAGATGTTTCATCATCTGTTCTTTGACTTCTCGTGGCACGTCTGGGCACGATGTTACATTGCCTCTTTTTCCTGCCAAATGCATTTTCACTTGTGTAATACCACCTTTAATGATTTTTTTTACAAAATATACATACTGCATCATGTCTATTGGTAGCCATTGTCGCAAAGTTTCAACCGATATCATCACTGAGATTACTTTGTGAACCTTCTTCTGGGCCATGTCGAGGCATTATCAATTCTGTCACAAAAAAAAAGTATACGTCATGTCGGAATAATAACTCAATATATTAAATGGATTAAAAGATTAATTTATATGTTCTATCTACTCCAAATAAAATTAGTGAATGGTAAGACACGTAGTGACACACATATATAAATATTTAAAATTGATTCGATTATAAAATTGATTCGATTATTAAATAAGCATAATAAATAGTCTAGACTAATATTTAATACTTAGAACATAATAATTATTTTTTTCGTGAGTCTTGATACGAACATGACAAGATTAACATTCTTAATTGTGATACCTATTTAAACTCTAGTAAAATAATTAATAAACTTTATTAGAACACAATAATTATTCGATTGTGGTTAAGGATGTCAAATTTAACCAGTTGATACGAACCCGGTACAAACAATTATAAAATTGATTCAATTATTAAATAAACATAATAAATAGTCTAGACTAATATTTAATACTTAGAACACAATAATTATTTTTTTCGTGGGTCTTGATACGAACATGACAAGATTAACATTCTTAATTGTGATACCTATTTAAACTCTATTAAAATAATTAATAAACTTTATTAGAACACAATAATTATTCGATTGTGGTTAAGGATGTCAAATTTGACCAGTTGATACGAACCCGGCACTAACGATTATAAAATTGATTCGATTATTAAATAAGCATAATAAATAGTCTAAACTAATATTTAATACTTAGAACACAATAATTATTTTTTTCGTGGGTCTTGATACGAACATGACAAGATTAGCATTCTTAATTGTAATACCAATTTAAACTCTATTAAAATAATTAATAAATTTTATTAGAACACAATAATTATTTGATTGTGATTAAGGATGTCAAATTTGACCAGTTCATGCGAACCCGACACAAACGATTATAAAATTGATTCGATTATTGAATAAGCATAATAAATAGTCTAGACTAATATTTAATACTTAGAACATAATAATTATTTTTTTCGTGGGTCTTGATACGAACATGACAAGATTAACATTCTTAATTGTGATACCTATTTAAACTCTATTAAAATAATTAATAAACTTTATTAGAACACAATAATTATTCGATTGTGGTTAAGGATGTCAAATTTGACCAGTTGATACGAACCCGGCACAAATGATTATAAAATTGATTCAATTATTAAATAAACATAATAAATAGTCTAGACTAATATTTAATACTTAAAACACAATAATTATTTTTTTCGTGGGTGTTGATACGAACATGACAAGATTAACATTTTTAATTGTGATACCTATTTAAACTCTATTAAAATAATTAATAAATTTTATGAAATTTTTTTAATTAAACACATGTTTTATTTGATCAAAAATATATCTCAAATATAATATTATAATATTTAAATGGACAAGACAACACTATATTTTTTTAAAAAAAAAAAAAAGAGAGAGAGAGATCTTAGGATAAATAGATCTTAAAAAGTAAAAAAAAAAAAAAAGGGGAGGGCGGTAGTTGATGTGCATAGTGCATAGATAAGTAGAGTTTAAAAAGTGAAAAAAAAAAAAAAATCAGTGGCTGATGGCTGAACACCACACATGTTATATTCTCACAACCACAAAAAAAAAAAAAAAAATAAGAAGAAGAGAGAGGCGGACCAGGCAGGTAGGCAGGTAGTTGGACTTGAGTGCTTACTAGAGAACTGAGAAATTCAAATGGAGCGTTGCAGTCAAAATCCTCGTGTCTTTGATCGTCCGAAGCAAGCAGCGACCACACCAAGAAGCGATCAAACATTAGAGAGCTTAGATCTGATCATTGGTCCAACAGTTAGAGTTCGAGTTCAGCTCTTTTGAGCAGAGGAGGACATAATTTCGAAAACCACCTCAAGAAAGTTAGATCTAGATATACAAGTACGTTTTTAAGTGATTATTTGAAAAAAAATTTAGATCTAAACCATGGATTTGAGATTTGAGTGAATGAAGGAAGATGAGAGACGGTGGTTGAATTTAGGTTTTAGATGAAATTAATTTTTGGGCTGA